GTGTCCCTGCACCATTTCCTTCTTAAAAGCACCCAGTTTTGGGTCCCCTGTCCTCCAAATCTGCATGGAATCTGCAGAGATGCGACGCTGAGAAAGGACAGCCAGAGACTTATCCCCCTTTCCCGCCTGGGAGTCTGCAAGACACATGACTGATGGATTATGTGGTTTCCAACTTTACAGTGCTACACCGTATTTGGGAAAATGGAAATCCTACCAAGTCAAAGCTGTGGCATAGGAAGAACCATCTGTAAGATGTATCTGAGCAAAATGAAAATCCCAAATAGACAAATACCTAAGTAGGAAAACATGCATTATGTGTTAGTGAGGTTTGTGCCCCTGCATCTGACTGCTAACATGCTGGTAGCCTCACCTGCCTTAAAACAGCACATATACATTTCCAGACAATAATGAATAAATGTGCAGGAATCTTTCCTATTCCTTTTAACTTGTAAAACTGCAAACTTAAATATTTGAATTTCTTCCATAAGCCTTCAGAAAGACTGAACTTTGATGTTTTTAAAGGGGAAAGATTATTTACTTTTGCTGCAGGCAAGAAATTATAATTTCTTTACTGATTCTGCCAAATGGTTCTATCACGCATTTTTTATTTTCATCAAAACAAGCCACTTTAAATTAAGGTTGTCCCATAACTACATAGTAATCAACATTTTGAGGGGCAGATCAATTTGATAAACCTCTGCTTGACTTCTCTGCCCAAAAGACTCCTCCAAATCCAACTGAACCATGGGGGAAGGGAGTTTTATTCCCTTTCCTCATGCTTGGCAGTGGCTAGGAAGAATATCAGCTGCAGTTCTGTTTTATTTTGTTCACGTAACCCGAACAGAAAACTCAGTGTTATCCACGTGGCTCTTAAACTAAATAAGCTGGATTCAAACCCAATCGTTAACAGAACGAAGTCAAAAGAGCAGCAAAATTTGTAGGTGATGGAAGAGGAGGTGAAGAGGAAGACTAGGGAGTAGGAAGTTTTTAAAAAGCAAAATAAACATGCAAAAAGAGACAGAAAAAATCTTCTGCACTGGCACAATATGCAAAATACATGGTTTTATACCAACAAGCAGGATGCTTGGAAATGGGGAGCCAAGCCCTCCTGTGCTAACAAAGCACTCAAAAGATTCAGTATTCAAGGTACCAGGATAGTTTCTGGTTTAAACTACACTGGATCCCATGAATGCAGACAAAATCCAGACCATCATCAATCTCCAGACAATGGGTAACGCTGACAGCACAGCATCCCATTAATCTTCATTTGTCCTATCACATCCTGTCATTCTTATGCAAATAGCATATTTGAGGATAGTCTTTTCTGCACCCCTCGATAAGGAGAACTGAAGCTGTCAGGAGCACCAGGATGTCACCCTATACCACAGGCCCTCACTTCGCTCAGCACCTCGTGTTTTACATCACAGCTAATGTGTTTGACATTCAAATTTGACCCAGCAGGAGGTAAAACTATCTGATGCAGGAGCAACTTGCATCTTGCTTCCTGTGCTAAAACATTCACCAAGGTCCCTGGGGATCTGACAGTCTCCCTTCCTTCACTGTACCCTTGCTAATGGAGATTGAAACGCTGCTTTAAGAGGGGGGGGGAAAAATATCTGCATGGGACGGTAATGATAGCAATTCAACCTTCTCACATAAAGTAAGCCCAGTGCTAAAAGGCCAGGAAAGCAGGTTCCACTGAAGAACTAAAAACAGGACACGTTATTCCTGATGAGTTGGTCTAGGTTTTCTTCCACGGAAATCTGTCAGACCACACCTGGAAATCTATACACATGTATGTCCGGAGAGAATGTTTAATTTCAAGCTGAGCAATTTATTCACAGTGTTTTACTTTTATGTGGGGATGAATGATCTCTGGTTAGGCTGATACACAGGAAAAGACAAACTCTGAATCACAAGCAGCTCCATAAAGTTATTGCAACACATTTTAGGCATGAAAAATCACTCCTGAGTGGGTAAGTCACCAAAAACAAAAAGTAGTTTTTCCACTTATTGCTCATCAATTCTGCTTATAGAATGAAGAATAAAAGGAAAGATTTTACTATTATGACTGACTCAGAGTGTTTTGTTTCTGTATCACTTTCAAAGAATGTTCAGAACATCTTGTTCCAGAATATTTCCCTTCCAAGAGAAATCACTTTCTGTACCATACATGGCTGAAAACAGTACATGCTGGTTTTGCATTCTTACGAAAAATAGAAGCTATTCCAAGGCCTTTCCAGCATCACATGAATGAGATGCAAAGTATCTGAATGCTACAAACACAGGACACAAGGTTGCAATAATATTTCAATACAATCATGACATCTTAGAGAAATTACCTTATTAATAGATGTCTGTGACAAGTCAAAACAAGTTTATCATTACTCATAACCTTTTATAAAGTCTGACTCAAATCTATTCACTAACTGAAAGCAACATATTGTAGTGTTTGCAGGGATGATGAAGTCTGCACTAGGCTCTGGGGAATACTTTTACATTTGATATTCCCAAGTGTTGTTTTCAAATTACAAAAGATTAATCATCACAGAATTGTCAGTTAAGCAGCAGCCACGTAAATGAAGATGCCGGATGGATTGTTACCAATTTTGTAAGCATATAAAGTGTACATTCCTCAAGCATTTCTTGGTTTGAAAAGCTAAAGAATAGTCACAAAAAAGTATACCAGACGTTTTCCTAGTCCTTGGAAGTAGAGAAGACAGACTGCCTTGTACCTTTATAACATATGTAAAGTTTGTCCATTAAAAATCAAAGTGTAGTCATCATATATAACTATGAAAGTAGGACACTCAGTTAATTGTCACACATAACTGATTATTTCAATATAAAACATGAATTTAACAAAATGTTACCTTTCCAAAGGGATCAGCAATCACAAAGTAAACTGAAAGCCCACACTGAAAAATTTCCCATTAAGCAAAGCCCACAACACAAGTGATTTCTGGTGTCAGTCTTCTTTTTTCCAGGGAAGGGGGAAAAAGTACAACTCATGCACTGCAAATCTTGCATGGACCCAGGAGAAAGTGGTGGCCTGGTAGAGCCTGTCTGGTCTGGCTGAAGTATGAAGTATGCAAAACCAACTCAAATGTGATACCTTTAAATCACAGTTTAAAATCCCCTTTCCTCCAGATCGATGAACTTTTGCTCTGCTACTCTGTTAGGTGAATGCTTTCTAGAATTCTTTTGTTTGTTTGCTTCCCATTATATCTGGTGAAAAGAGTTTTCAATAAAAATATAAAGGAGCCATTTGTGGCTATTAAAATTGCTAATAAAATTCCTGTAATCACACAGCTTGCTACTGTGGGGAGCACTGCCTCATTGCAACTTTCTCCTTTTCTTTATTTTTAGAGTCAAGCCTATCAGCTTTACCTGGGGAAAGAATACATAAGATATGTTGGCATCCAAACAAAATTGCGTTGTTCATTCTTAAAAGTTCACCACCCCCCCAAAATTCATATGTACAGAAGACATTAAATTTTTATGCATCATATCCCAGGCTGAGAGGTCTGGATTTGCATCAGTGATGTAGGTACAGCATACAGTAACTCAGGTTCTATCAAGTTCTTAGTATTGCAGGGTGGCAACTCTTGTACTGTTCCAATATTGTCAATATTTCAATTAAAAACTACAACACAAGAAAGCAGCATTCATTGTGTGCCCACAAGAAATCCAGCAAAAGGGAGAACAGCAGGGAACTGAATTCCCAGGTAGAGATGGAGACAAGACAGTACAATGCTGAACTGACTCAGAAGGAAATTTCCCTTCTGTTCAACAAACAGATTTTTTTCAAATTCAGATTAGTCTGACTCTGAAGAACAGCCACTAAAGAAAACTGAAATCAACTTGACAAAAGTCAAATTTTGACAATTTCAGTTTTGCACAAGTATATTTTTCACTGATCAGTTTTATCACCTTTTACTGAAAACACTTTGCTAGCTCTACTTTGCCATGGCAGGCTCACAGACAGTTGTACAAGTAAGCTCTAAATAAGCCTTTGTCAGGTCTCCATCAGCTGTGTGGCTTCCTTCAATAGGGAAGAGTCTGTGTTCTGGAGTCAAAATATAAGGTTTTTTCTCAAGACTTCCTTGGTATATGAACCATACTTATGTGTATTTTATGCCTGAATGCTCCAAGACAAACAGAAAAAAACTATTCCAGAAGCAGTTTAAAATGTGAGAATTATTTAAGAAACTTATAAGAAACCCTAAAAAAAGATCAGGAAAACTAAATTCATCAACTTGTCATCACATTCATTAATGTTGTGAAGGTGAAAAGCTGTGGAATAAAGAACCTTACCAACAGTACAAAACGTATCTTAAAGGAAATCACTTCAGACTGACCCGTCTACTGCACTTAGCTGTGAGAAGACACAGCAGTGGTGGAGGATTTTAAAGTGGATTTTCTAGAGGGCTGCTGGGTTGGTTTTGTGTTTGGAGGTTTTTCTGCAGTAAGTGTTACAACCCTCCAGCTTCTACAAATTTGACATGTTCTTGTCACGCCAGCAGAGCTGCAGCAGGATCTGAGGAGAAATTGTACTGTTTACAGTTGGAAAACGTAGTGCTGGCAGCAGGATAAGGGCACTGAGGAGACATTTAATCTCTTGAAAGGAAGTAACTAATGAAACCAACAAACTCCAGCAAACTCCTGCATAAACAAACAAAACAGAAGCAAAAACCACGGCAGCAGTTTGACAGAAATGTTGCTGCACAAGTTCAATGAGCTTGACTTAAGGAAAATCTCATCTAGGAAACGGATACTTAAGGCTATGGCAAAACATTTTGTTTCTGGTAAAAATTCTGTAGGGAGGAAGAAAAAGTGAGGGACATGAACTATTCCTTTGCCTTGTCTTCATTTTCAAACTTCTACTCTTAATCATTAAATTGATCAGACAACAGTTTGGAGAGTAAAAGAGAACGGAATTATACCAAAATCTGGTCTTTTTAAGAGAACAGGATATACGACAGTGCAGCCATTCGTACCTTGTCTATCATGTCCGGTCTGTTTGTAGCTGCCAGAATTGTCACGTCCTTCAGCTGTTCTATCCCATCCATTTCCGTCAGCAACTGAGCCAACACACGGTCTGCTACATTGCCAGCACCTGAGGAGCTGATTTAGAAAAAAACAAAACAAAACAAAAGTCACAGCATTAGCTTTCTCCTCCTAGAAAACTGGAGAAAGGAAAGGATATACTGTTCTTTTCATTTTACAGAGATGCATCTTTTTATCTTAATTCTTTCTCATTTTTATTTTCGCCTTCAATCTCTGAAACAGTCTTATCAAGTGAGCAGCAAATCAGAGACTTAGTCCTTCAAATTATTTCTTGGTACTCAATAACTGAGTCAGCTTTTTGGCTTTTTTACTGCCTTGCTATGAAGGTTGTAAAGAACTTAACACAACGTGGATCTCTGGAATAAACATTTTTTAGATAACTGAATTCATGCAGCTTCTTAACTAGTCAGACAAACTTTCCTTTTTAGCATCATCCAAGTGAGTGCTTATACCAGCCTATGCAGTATAAAAAATTAGGTACTTATGTGTTTTGCAGAGTAGTTCTACATTGTTATGCTGTCTCCATCAAATAAGAATAAATTGAGTGTTGACCAACTGCCTCATAATAGCATTGACAGTCCTTTAACTCAGCTGATTTTCCAGACACTAGGAAAAAACCCCAAGACTGAAAACCTGAAAACTCCAGTTTTGAAATCACCAATATGTGAAAAACCTATGCAGACAAGGCATAAAGCATTCCCTCTGCTAAGCAGGGGCAGGGAAGCTGAAGCAGGCTGGGGCAAGCAGCTGGAGATTGCCAGATAGCACCAAAAATGTGGGGTTTATCCTCCTTTGCCAGAAACCAGGAGTCCTGCTCTTAGCACACAGCAAAGCCTCACTGTTTCTGACACAGCCTTCCCCTGTGGATGGGCATGAACACACCTACATCATCTTTCACCAATGGGAAACAGCTCTTCCAGGACTGTTCCTGGCTCTGCTGCATGGAGGAAGATTTCATTTCTCTACCTTTAAACAGGCTCTTTGCAATACAATTTAAAAAAAATTAGTCTCTCCCATTCTTCCAGATCGCTCTAAACGTCACATTAAGAAGCAAAAAGAAGTCTGGTACTTAAAACAAAGCCAAATCTACAGAGGATTAAGACAATTATTTAATCTCAAATTTTTTGCAAATCCTTTCCCAAAAGTTCTCTTTAATGTTTATACAGATATACAGGCACCTACACACACACACACACAAGCACAATACCATTATCCTGGTGAATGCTAGTTTCCAAAAATAAATATATTAAATATATTAAAATATAAGTGCTCCAATTATTTCCAGCAGATAGAGAGCACACAAATACAGTTGTATAGTTATTAAACACATATATTGCTGCAGCACTGCCACCCACCACCAGCCTGCCTGCAACCACAGGGCTTCCCAAACGTCCCAGAGCCAAAGGAACACTAATGGTTCCATCACTGCTGTACAGCTCTCCTACAAAAAAAAATTCCCTAACTTTCCCATCCTACAACTGGTTCTGTAATTTTCCAGTGCAAAACATTAAACTTATCACACCCGGTCTGGAAAACATCTTTGAGGAGCTGTAATAGATGTTGGCTAACAGAATATTTAGGTTGCTAAGAAATATTAGAGAAGGGTTACACGGTCATCAGCTTTTGGGTTTTCTGCAGGCACATTAGAATTTCCCAAGTGATATTAAAGCATTTCTAACATACTCACGGGTCACAGTCCCAGTGACTTATAGAGGGCTGCGTGTGATAAAACACTTCAGGTGTTGGACATGGATAGTAAATGCTTTTCGAAGGACACAAAGCTTAAAGGAAATTAAAACCAACTTTGTAACATTAGCTGGTCTCAGTAGGGATTCAGGCCTCCCATCTTGCATAAGTTTCACATTTACTCAACTTTATACCCAACAGACTGAGCACAAGAAAATGCTAGTCAAAGGAAAAAATAATTATAAGACTGGGACCAAAATGCTAACATTATATAAGATGACCTGAAGGTAGACGTCTTTGGAGGAGATGCTAAACTTTTCTTTGTTCCCTTAAAAAAACCCCAAAACTTCGTTTAAAAGAGAGGTGGCTGGAACGGATATTACATCTTTCCCCAATATAAACATTCCTCTTACAAGCTTCAGGCTGAAAAAAAAAAAAAACCACCCCACAACACATTAAAGAAGTATTTATCCTAAAGAAAACCCCCACTGTTACAGGGGAATGCATATTCCAAAGATTTTCATGCAATTCAGGCATCATCAGAAAATTGCAGTTAGGCATTCAGTGATGGTATAATACAGCTTAAACATGAAGGGGGCTACCAGTACATTATTTGGGGCTTTATTATTGTCTCTTCAAAGTGGAGTAAATAATTTTAAACCCACACACACAAAAAAAATCAATAATGAAACCAGTATCAAGGTGTCTGGGTCCTATGACACCGCAGATTTCTACTTTCAGTGCTTTTATTTACATAGTTCACTAAGCTGTCACACAATGCACCATTTTTAGCACAGAGTCTACAGTAAATTAGCTTTTGGCTTAGCAGGATACCCCATAAAAACCCCAGGTAGGCACAGGGAGCGATCTCTTTCCCAGCTGCTTGGAGCTGCACCAGAGCCACACCGAGGGCTCCAGCGCTGCCCAAGCTGTTAATCTGAGGGGTGACACACAACTATGTGCTTTTCCATTTTCCCATGATTTCCCAGCAAGGGTTTCAAATTAACACAGGCAACGTTCATTAAGGCTGCCCGGCCTTTTGACGCAAACGGCAGCCGGAGAAACAAATGATGATTAACCCTCCAGTCCCACGGAGGCACTGCCAAAACCAACTCCCAGCCAAGGGGCTGCCTTTGCCCCCCCACCTCCACCTGACCTCCCCGTGCTGATGTCATCATCACAACCGCCTGGAAATAGTCCTCAAAAGGCACGTCCTGGTACAAACTAATTTCCTGTCAACACGCCGCCTGCAAATCCAGGCAGCCAGAGTTAAGCCCCTCACATAATCCACGCAGGGCCATGTGTGCACGTGCCCAAACCAGAAATACCTTCAACTCCAAAATAAAACGTGTGTGAGCAAAGAGGAGTCTGGCTGGGAATTTCAAGGAACCTCTTGTGCTGCCCTAATGAAATACATCAGGCTATGAGCTAATTTTTTGCCAACCCTTCTCTATTTAAAATCCTCAATGAAGGAATTTTAAAGGCAAAAAATGTCTTTGCTTACTAGTTTATTAGATCAGTCAGAGCCAGATATCCTCCCCTCTATGATATTTCAGCTACTCCTGTAAGTGTAGCACACACCAGTCTCAGACCAAGCGCATGTGTGCTCCTGCACAGGCAGTTCACTTGACCATCAGAGAAGCTTCCTAAATGGCAAAAGCCTGTCAGGTAAGACTATTCATGGATTAAAGCAGACTAGTAATGGTGAATATGAAAGACAACCCTGTTCTTAGTATCTTATTTTAGCTAAAGGCACTCCCAATACACATTTTACCAGAATAAATCATGCATTCTGCAAGTATACCAAAGCCTCACAATTAATCAGAATTAATTCTGGCCTTGTCTGATAGAATTGAGAGATCATGAGCACCAGCTCTAAATTCAATATAGCAGGTGAGGGCTCTCCACAGCAGCTTTTATTTCTATCTCCTTTGGCCTTATCCAAAGACCCTTCTAGCCAGCTGGATTCATACAGCAGTGGGCACTGAAATTTCCCCCTGGATAATTTCAGCCACTCTCATACATCTTCTTGGGGATATAAAAGCAACCACAGTCTGATTCTATCACTGCATCAAGGAGTGCATACAGTTCACTCACTTATATAGTTCTTCAAGCCAAGGAGATTTTGTTACCAGACATAGCCAGATGTATGAAATCATATTTAAATCTGTTACCCTTCTTGCTATAGGCATTTTTTTTTGACAGCAACTGACTTCTTGTTTTGTACATTTTCACTTATTTAATTTCCTTTGCTTTCGCCCTGCCCTTTATCTAATGGATTTTTTAATATTAGAAAACTAAAAACAGTCTGAGAATGCAGTCACTGTGGTTTCACCTCACGACGAAATTTGGTTAGCATCACCACTGCGAGCTAAAGCAAACATACATCGGCATCATCCGACCATCTAGAACACTTCCAAAGCCGTGGAATAAATGTTTTTTTTCAGAACACCAGATGTCATTCTCATTGAAAAATGTATTTAAGGCTCCGTCACCACTTAAATCTTGTAAAGGAGAACCAATGGCTCTTCATCTCACCCCTAACTTCAGCAGCACTGAAGCCTGCCTGAAACACCTGACCTGCAGAATCAGGATCCTAATTTAGTTACACTGCATAATCGTGGGTGTAGAAATGCAGGCAATATTCATTCACACAACTACATTTTGAGCGCTGTTAAATTCACAGCAACTGTGAAGCTACGAAACCAGGAGGAAGTCTGGGAGAACACCTCTCCTGCACAGCTGACCCTACATCAGGCAGAGCTAGGACGTCAAAGAGGCAGATGTCAGGAGAAGCATCCGGGATAAATTACTGCAGAGGGATTAATCTCCACGTAGCTGAAATTTATAATGCAGATTTTGTGAGAAGGGAGTACAGCCCACCTTCTTTTTCAAAATGTCCCATCAGGCAAGATTTACATACAGATAAAACCTGCCTTTTTTATTTTTTTCCCCCTAACTAAAGAATTGCAATCACTATCAAAATTTATAGGTTTTAGAAATACTTGTGGACGTGGTATCACCTCAAATAATTCTCCCACCGAAATCTCTGGAAACAATTTCATATCAAAACAAATGTAAAAGTCACTGACACGACAAAATGGCCAGTATCAAAAAAATTAACACAGGTTGAAATAGACCTTTCTGGCAGGACTCTCCACCTCTCCATGAACTACTGAGGTAAAAGGTTCCCAAAGTACAAAAGCCCCCTGCCAGCACACTCCCACGCAAGAGTCACTTCGCTCACACAGCCTGAAGGATTTTTATTGAGTCTGACATTTCTGTCAGGGCTTTGCAGGGGGAACCTGTCAGCAAGGAGCACCTGCCAAGTCCAGCTTTTCAGTCCAACTGCCGTGATCATAATTAACTGT